GGCCCTATGAAGACAGGAGTCAGAGACAGAACAATTTTCAGAAGGCCCTGGACCACTTAGTCTAGTTATTAATCAGCAAAAAGACATTGTTTCACACAAGGTAGAACTGTGAGAGGATTCATGCCCACAGGTTGTTCTCCATCCTCCACATGTATACTCTAGCACACATGTGCCCAGACCCAAGAGCAAACACAAACACACACAGTCCCACATCTAATCATTCACATCACACACACACACACACACACACACACACACACACACACACACACACACGCTCACTGCATTTGTTGTATTAAATCACTAAGTTTGGATTAGTATTTGGGAACAGTTTAAACTGTTTTCCCTTTGTCAAACTATTTGCTATCAGAAAGTTGATCTCGCTTTACATGACAGTGCAATGATTTTCACCAAGGGCAGATGGGGAATACCTCCCTGGTTGTTTAGCAAAAAACACTTCCGTGACTGATGCTAAGAATCCAGCCTGTCATTCAAAAACATAAGCCTCAAAGGCTGTGCTTGGTGCAAAAATCAAGGCTGTGATTGATCTAAACAAAGTGCTGGGACTGGTCAGAAACCCATGACTGATCCAAAGGGCTTTTCTCAAGCCACTCAGGAGGTTGCTTTGCCTCAGCAAGTTTGCTGGGTGCTCCCCTTTGATGCTTCTCCTGGTGTTGCAATATCAGTCCTCAAAAAAGGTTCCCTGCAGTGGCCTTTTCTTGCCTTCTCTAAGAAGATCAGGCTGAGCTGGTAACACAGGTGGCAAGGCCAGTAGAGAGCAGAAGTGATGTTTGAGGCCACAGAACATGCAAGAGGCAGGGAAGCTGAGTGTAGTCAGGCCACGCTGTGAACAAGGCAAGACAGCTGCTACTGGACAGCTGAAGAAGCAGAATTTGGTCAGTTTTCTAGCAGCCAGGGCAGGAGGGAGAAGGGGAGAAGGAAAAAGAGGACAAAGGGGGTGGAGCTGAGGCTGAATACAATAAAGGGCTGTAAGGAGCAAAGAAAAAGAAGCAGAAATGCAGGTCATCCTGGGAAGAGTGATGAGCTATGCAGTCTTCATGGACAAGGATCTCAGGCCTGGGGCTGAGAGCTGTAACACCAGCAGGGGCAGGGAAGTGTAATGAGGTCTCAGGGTGTTGGTGACATTGATGTTGGCTTTGAGGATGAGAACTCAGCAGTTATTCTCAGTACTTGGACCATATGAGTCACTACTTGGACCAACACCCATCCCCTACGGCTGAGAGGTGACTCTTCTACAGAGATATATTTAAGTAGTTAGAAGGCAGTTTAACTTCATAGAGGCCTCTTCACCTCTCATTACTACGCTGTGGCATCCAATTTCAAGATTAATTTTGGAGAGAACATAACAGAGACCCCAATTTCAATATTTATGGTCCTATATCCAGAAGGGTTGTAGGACCCATGCCAATTTATTTTCCTCTTTCCTTCTTTCTTTCTTTCTTTCTTTCTTTCTTTCTTTCTTTCTTTCTTTCTTTCTTCCTTCCTTCCTTCCTTCCTCCCTTTCTTTCTTTTTTCCTTTGTTCTCTCTCTCTCTCTCTCTCTCTCTCTCTCTCTCTCTCTCTCTCTCTCTCTCTCGGACTCACTAGAGTTTTCCCAGTGGCGGCACCATTTTGCTTTTCTCCACAGCAATGAACAATGGTTTCAATTTCCCCACAATTAACATTCCTTCATTTTCTTAATGGGGAAGATGATTTCTTAACCTAGTCATTCAGTAAGTAGGAGGTTATATTTTATTGCTTTTACCACAACCCTTGGCATGTCCTGTTCTGAAGGTTTTTCTAGATCTTCTGGTCACATGTTTTGCATTGAGCTGTGCCTTGTGAGTTTTATAGATGAATTCTCCTTTAGTGTGCTGTTGAGATGCAGAGACAGGAAAGTGTGATAAGATCTCAGGGTTTTGGAGACCTTGTGCTTCTGACCTTGAACCCTAGTATTTCTTTACTTATTCCCTCCCATCTTACATGGGAGCAGATTCTTAGTTCCAGCCGATAAAGATGGGTATTCCTCTTCCCCATAGAAAGCCAGAATAGACCCAAATTGACTTTTCCTTCTCTGTGAGGAAAGATGAATTAACTCAAGTATGTATTTTCTGTCCCTTGAACAATTAGGCTATAATAAGTCTCCTAATCTTATGATCTGAGTTCCTAGGTTTTTGTTTTGTTATCTGTCTGTCTGTCTATCTGTCTGCCTATCTGTCTATCTATCTATCTTATGGCAATCCTCTGCTAAAAGCAGCATGATTAGTCATATATTTTAGAAATTGTTTTTCCTCTCCCCTAGTATGATCTTACGGGGCTTGTTTTATGATATTTATTGTGAGAACTTGGTCAAGTTTCTGGAGGCCAGTCTCACAGATGTGGATGCCTTCTGTCTGGTTCTTGCAAGTGTTTGTAATTATCTCCTTAATCACCATGAATATGCAGCACTTTGTTTATTACAGCTAAGGTTTTCTGGTTCTGTACTAGATCCTATGGTGGAATAGCAATGCTCAATTGGGTTCCCATGAGCCACCCTGCTCTTACTCTTCTATCTCTTCTGTACCAGTGGGGCATGTCCTTGTCTTGTATCCTTCATTCTCTTACACAACTTAGAAGAGCTATTTGGTCTCCAACTGGTTCACATGGGTGCTGTGAGGATGAACTGGAAACTTCCAAGCTCCTCCACACAGATCTAGAAAGCAAGAGTCTTTTCTAGATGTGTTTTCATTTTAATCCTCATGACGGTTAGTAATGTAATTCAACTTAGTAAAGAAAATGTTTATTGAGGCTCATGGTTCCTTAGAGTTAGAGTGATGGTCATCAAGGTGGAGAACATGGCAGGGGCAGGCAAGCATGACACTGGAGCAGTAGTTCAGAGTTTACTTCCTAAGGGTGGTGGTGATGCACACCTTCAATCCTAGCACTAAGGCAGCAGATGCCGGTGGATCTCTGTTAGTTCCAGGACAGCCAAGGCTACAAAAAGAAACTCTGTCTCAAAAAACAACAAAGAAACAAACAAAAGTAAATGTAGCTAGAGTTTTCCGCCTTGCCCACAGTCAGGACAAATCTCTGTCACCTGCCAGTCCCACAGCCGCTCAGACCCAACCAAGTAAACACAGAGACTTATATTGCTTACAAACTGTATGGCCGTGGCAGGCTTCTTGCTAACTGTTCTTACAGCTTAAATTAATCCATTTCCATAAATCTATACCTTGCCACGTGGCTTGTGGCTTACGGGCATCTTCACATGCTGCTTGTCATGGTGGCAGCTGGCAGTGACTCCTTCCACCTTCCTGTTCTTTCTTTTCTCCTCTGTTAGTCCTGCCTATGCATCCTGCTTAGCCATGGCCAATCAGTGTTTTATTTATTGACCAATCAGAGTAATTTGACATACAGATCATCCCACAAGTAAAAGTTTATATCCTGATATAAGAGTTGAGGCAGGAAGAGAACTAATTAGGAATGGAGTAGGCTTTTGAAATCTCAAAGTGACTCACTTCTTTCAAAAAGACTACAATTGTTAATCATTCCAAACAAACTAATGAAAACCAAGCATTTAAACATATGAGCCTATGTGGGCCACTCTCATTCAAGCCACCAAATTCCACTCCATGGCCTCATAGGTTTGTGGCCATATCATAATGCAAAACGCATTTAATTAAACCTCAAAAGTCCCCATAATCTTTTAGTCTCAAGACTTTTTAAATGGTCAAAGTCCAAACTCTCTCCTGAGACTCAAGGCAGTCTTTTAAATGTAACCCTCTGTAAAATTAAAAAGCAAATTATACACTTTCAAAATACATGGCACAAATATAAATTATCATTCCAAAAGGGAGGCAAGGGTTACAGTGAGGAAATACTGGGTTCAAACAAGACTGAAACCCCGAAGGGAAAACTCCAAGTCCTGTCGTTCTACATTGGGTGTCAAAGAGCTCGAATGACCCAGTCTTTTCAACTTTGCTCTTTGCAGCACAGTTCTCGTGGGCTGACTCCATTCCCTGTCGGCAGCGCTCCTTCATAGATATCCTGTAGTGCTGGGAAATCCAGCGTCTTGCTGTCTTCAACACAATCCAGGCTTCATTTTCACACTTTCACAGAATGGTGTCTCTGGACCTCAATTCAGGAACTCTCTTGTCATACACTTGACCTCAGCTGCTTTCACCATGGAGGAATATTCCACATCATTTTTACTTTTGTATTCTTCATGTCTCTAAAGCAAGAACTACGTGTCCAATGCTGCCAAGTTTTATTATCTGCTTGTTATTATCTATTATCTAAATCTGGTGCCCTCCTTGCATAACATTTGTATAAACTTGAATTTCTTGTTGCTTCTTAGGAAGACATAATTCCTTAGGCCTGTTCAAAAGTTGCAGGATTAACTAGGTGTGGTCACACCTTGAGGGTGCCAAACCCATTATTCCATTTCTTCTCATCTTTTCAACTCAAAACTTGGCTCTAACATTAAGCTTTTTTGTGTTCTTTCTTCAAACTATACATTCTGTATTTCTTTTTGCCCTGTTCATTGATGGTATGCATAACAGTGATCACTAATTACTACACAACAGAATCAACATCAGGCTGTCTTGAAATCTCTGTCAATGAAATTAGTCCAAAATTCTTTAATTTAGCCTCAAGGAGATTCTTGGGACAAGGAGGAAAAAGCCTCCATATTATTTATCAAAATATCACAATAATGGTCTCTAACTCAGTTGCTAATATTGTTCCCTCTTGAAAGCTCTTGAGTGGGGCCTCCATCATACAATTGTTCTCACCATCATTATCTTCCAAGCTCCTACTAGGGGGGCCCATTTAGCCCTATTTATAATTTTCAACTACTCCCCTAGACCAGAGTCCTAAAGTCTTCCACATTTTCCCAAAACATAGCTTGATCATGTCTGTAATGTCAACACACCACTTCCTGGCACCAACTTCTGCCTTAGTTACTCTTCTACTTCTGGGAAGACATACCATGACAAAGCAGATGATAATTTATTGGGGCCCATGGTACCAGAAGGTTTGTCCATAATCATCATAGTGGGAATGATGGAAGCTGACAGGCAGTAAGGTAATGGAGCAGTAGCTAAGATCTTACATTCTGATCTACAAATTGGGGGCACAGAATGAACTAACTGGGAAATCTTAAAACCCATGCCCAGTGACATACTTCCTCCTACAAGGCCATACCACCTAATCTTTCCTAAAATATTCTAGCAACTAGGGATCAAGTATTCAAATATATGATACTATTAGAGCCATTTTTCTTCAGACCACCATATTTATATTCTTTTTTTCTTGTCAACTGTAACCTCAGTTGTAAAAATTATTTAGATTCATGTGTTCCCATTTGGCTATTTTGTTTTCATTCTTTGAGAATTTTATATGCACACAATGCATTTTATCACATCACCAATCATCTCATACCCCTCCAACTACCCCTAGATCCCTCCTCAACATATCCCTCTCTCAACTATATGGCTTTTTCTTTTTCAAAATAACCTGTTGAGATTAATGAATGATAATTGTATATGCATAGGTATGGGGGTATGTACTAGAGTACCCACCAGTAGCCACACCCCCAAAGAAAACTGAATCAACTACTAATAGCTTCTCGATGAGGAGTGGGGCCTTATGAGCCTCTTCCCCAACCATCTTGAAATGTTTCCTTTTGTTATTTTGAGAAAGGGTCTCTCTGTAGCCTGGCTGTCCTGGAATTCACTGAATAGACCAGGCTGGCCTTGAACTCACAGAGAACCTTCTGTTTTTTTGCCTTGAAACTGCTAGGAATAAAGTCATGTATCAATGTACCTGGCCCATGATGGATTTTGATAGGCATCGTTTTGGGCAGATAACCATAGCTGTTGCAAATTTGTGAATGCAATGACCATGTTATGTCCAGAAAACAGAATTTTAGGGCGTTTTTACATTGTTTTCATCCCCTCTTCCATGGTGTTCCCTGAGTAGGAATTTGTATAGATACCCAATTTAAGGCTGAGCACTCACAGTTATGTATGCACAGCACTTTGGGCAGTTATACTCATACCTGAATTGACTATTGTGTTGCAGGATATTTGGTCATACTGTGAAACCTGAGATTGCATTATTTTCTGGAAAAATCTGCTTCTAGCTGTGATGTGGCATAGCTCTATTACACAACCTTAATCCAAGAGCTATCCATCAGTTTATAGTACACAGGATTAAATAAAATCAAGCATAGGTCAAGAGGCAGAGCAAGGAACTAGTTGACAGGAAGTAGCCATAGAGGGTAAGAGAAGTCAGGAAGATAGATATAAGTAGTAAGGAGGGAATAGTAAGGAGATAATTTGAGTTTGGTCATCCTTTTTGGTTTTGGATGGCAGAAAAATAAACCCTCTTTCTGGGGCATCTGTGGAGGAGGAAGGTCAGTGGGCTGCTTTCTCTGCCTCTCTGAGATAGCAGGTTTTTGGTCCATCATCTGGTTCCTGAGTCTTTATTAATAAATAAAATGATAGCTGTAGAAATTAGGAATCCCTAACCATGCATGGTGGGGCACAGCTGTAGTTCCAGTACTTGAGAAGTAGCGACAGGGGCATCAGATGTTCAAGGTCATCCTTAACCACAGAGGGAGTTTGGGACTAGCCTAAGTACAGGAAACCCAACCTGAGAAACAGAGCAAAGCAAAACGAAAGGCAATCAAATGCTTTGCTCACAATGGTACAGTACTTGGTTCTAATAATTAAATAGAAACCCACTCATAAAATGGAAGTATATGGAACTGTTAAAAACTAAATGAGAGCAAAAGGGAGGTTTTAATTAGAGATGTAAGAGCCAGCTAATGTTTCTCCATATTATTTCTATAAGCAAAATTCTCAGTTTTCCAAAGGAAATCCACACTTTTTTAAATTGTCTAGGAGAAATAATTTGACAACGCCATGTTTCTTGATCACATTTTAAAAATTAACACTTTTCACTATCTAATAAACATAAGACATTCATTATGTAGTAGTTGATATGGTTAACAAGGAAAGAAAAGATTTCATTCATGGTGTTTAGACAGCACAGTATGGTTGACACAGTGTATGTCGTGTAATGTAGGGAGCATGGAGGTCCTTGTGCTCAGGGATAAGCACTACAGGAACCAGGGATGTTAAACACACAGGGTTATTGCTTCAAAAGGAAGGGATGCATAACCTGTTATCCATCCAGAAGGCTGGGAGTGGACATGGTTAATAGCCTGGTGACCTTTGCATCATCTGCGTGACCAAGACAACACTATATTCTCTCCCAGACCCTTAACACAGGCTTGTCAAACTCTAGAACCTATCTTTACAGAAGGTCCCCCATGCACTTTACAAGAGGTTTGATGTAGTTACACCTTAAGCCTTATTTTCCACATGGGATTAAATTAACTATCACCAAGTGGATTTCCACCATATTGTGCTGTGCTTAAAGATACCTAAAATAAACCACTCAAGGTCAGACTCCCAAAGTTTGAACCAACACCAGCTACTTAGTCATGTTAAATTAAACTTCCTTCTTGCCTCCAATGGATCATAACACTGGTGACCGTGGTGGTCACAGAGACTCTACAAATGTTACACCACAGAATGCCCCATATCTGCTACAGACATAGTGCATGTCATGCTATGTGACAATACCCCAACATTTGCAATTTCATTTACTGTAGTTTCTATTGCTTGCATTATGCAGTGGTATTAAATTACTAACTGGGAAATTCTAGAAATAAGTAACTCAGTGTTTTAAATTGGACACAGCCCTGAGGAGCAATGATGAGATCTCACAGCATCTAAGACATGATACACTAGTGACCAGTGCTTGTGCCCTGTTAATATACACTCCCTGGGTGATGGCCACAAATGCAAAAGTAGTGATATAGGGAGAGCCCAGTTATGCAGGAGAGAAGCCATAATGCTTTCCTTTAAATAAAAGGTGATACTACAAAGTACTCCACTAAACAGAAAAAAATTGTTTTTACTGTTGCATATCAAATTGTGAAAATTATAGCCACCAGGTATAGTATGAGCTTAGTTAAGATAGAAAACTCTGTCTGTCTCTCTGTCTCTCTTTCTGTGCATGTGTATATGTATATGTACGTGTATGTTTGTGTGTGTGTGTGTGTGTGTGTGTGTGTGTGTGTGTGTGTGTAAAACAGTGCACACATAGTGTAGCACTATCTCTAGTTTCAGTCAATCCACTAAGAGTGCTGGAAAGAGTCCATGTAGTTGATGGAGGTCTTATACAGTGAAAAAAACACCTCAGACTTTTATCCAAATTGTACTCAAGTGGATTTTACACGTGTATTCTTTGCACTTCCAAGATGCCTGTCGGTGCCCACGCTGGCATTGGTTGGCTCTGAAAGTTGGCTGTGCTGGGCTGATCCTTCTTGTTTTGAGCCTGGCTGGATTTGGTGTCTCAGGTAAGTGAGGGAAGAGCTTTAGCTTCATTATTTCCATATAAACATTAGTCCTCTTCACAGCACCTGGCCACCTTGAGCCTACGGGGAGGTTGGTGACATTGAATGTTACAGGGCAACATGTCTTGTCCACTACAGAAACTTCACAGTTCTCCCTTGCTCTTCATTTTTCTGAGAACCATTTTGAGATATGTCATATGTGCATCTAGAACTATAAAAAATCCAAGTCAAATTGTGACAAAAGATGGCAATAACAAAGAAAACTAAAAGACCTCCATACTTAGCTTACTATGTGCCTGCTAAACCTTTTTTTTTTTTTTTTTTTTTTGAGGTGGGTGTGATTGAAGATGAGCAGCTCAGGTATGACTGTGAGCAATCTGAGAGTTTCAGCACAGATTGACTTTTCAATCAGATCATATGCAACCTCAGAGCTGTTTGAATCCATGTTTGTGCTTTTCTTGTTCATATATCTCCACACTTGTCCCTTTATCCAGTTTGCTAATATTTTAACCTCAGTTCTGATATTCAGGTTTGTTGAAATAACTTGATTTCCTGAAGTGGGAAAGAGAACACCCATTCCAACATTTCTTTAAGCATTTAATCCTCTCTGTGTGTTTCTTATTTACTAGTGGGATTTCTAGTGCAAATACTACCAATAGAAAAATGTGCAGCTGCTCAAGAGAACTTGACTGAAGCAACAGGTAATTGTGTGGCTTGAATTTCCTGAGAATAAGAGGTAGTTTTTGACAGAAAACATTAGTTACCTAATTCAAGTGCACAACAGCCTTCCATGAGACACTATATCAATATGGTATTGTATGAGAAGACAGCCATGAAAACGTTAAGAGCTTGCAGGGAGTTATACAGTTTGTAATTGTTGGTTCTGTGCACCACATTGAAGCTGGATGACCTTGACATCTATGATCTTAGACACCTGGCCATGCTGTCTCGGGCTGCTGATGAACACAATCCCTAATAGGCAGATAGCAAAGTTGAGTATTTTAATGAATATTCATTATTGTGCACTTGAACAGCAAAGTTTACTTGTCTGAAGTTAATTAATAGAGACTAAACATAAAATAATCTTTTGTCATTAATTATTATTCCTTGACAGCATTAACCTTGTTCCAGCATGCACTAATGAAGTTACTGCTGTGTGGGGTTGATTATGGTACATCAGGAACAGGGCAGAAATAGACCATGTGTTCTTTCTTACTCTAGAGAGATCAGTCATACTAACATGCCCGAGAGATTGGCATCCATACTGGGATAAATGCCTATTTATTTCTCAAACTTCCGGACCATGGGCTGAAGGTCTTGCTGACTGCTCTGTAAAAGAAGCCACGTTGCTGTTCATTGAATATGAAGAAGAATTGGTAAATTGTTGAATAAAATTGCTCAGTTAAATCATAACACTTTCTTGAAGCTATGTCAACATCTCTGGACTTTAACCAATTGTCTATGCTGAGGAAGTGGAGACTTGGATTTTAGGCAGCTCACAATCTGGGAGACTAATTGAACTTATGATTTAATAACTGAATAGAGTGGGATGACTCAATTATATACACATGAATATAGAGAGAGCAATTTCACAAAATAGGGAGGGTTATGCTGGTGGGGAGCTAGGAGGCACTTCAAACAGGAGTAGGAGTGTTTTAGAAGATTAGCAGAAGAATATAAATAATGAATAAACAGATTTTAGTTTAAATTTCTCACTCTGTTTTGATTATAGAGATTCATTCGGGAGTTCTCAGAGAAAATAGGACAGACTTTCTATATTGGACTGAATTATGTACCAGCAAAGAAGATCTGGAAGTGGATAAATGGCTCTATTTTAAATCCTCATCTGTAAGTATTAAATGAGCTCATTTGAATATTCAATTTACATCCATTTCACTGAAAATTTAATTTTGTAACTTTGATTTAGTTTATAAATTCTTGAACCGGGCGGTGGTGGCGCACGCCTTTAATCCCAGCACTCGGGAGGCAGAGCCAGGTGGATCTCTGTGAGTTCGAGGCCAGCCTGGGCTACCAAGTGAGTTCCAGGAGAGGCACAAAGTAACACAGAGAAACCCTGTCTCGAAAAACCAAAATAAAAATAAAAATAAATATAAATAAATAAATAAATAAATTCTTGAGAGGGTCAGATAGGCTGAAAAGACAATTATTTTTCATGTACATGTGTACATCAGTCCTATATAGTTGTCTGTGTATATATGTGTGTGTGTTTATTTACAACTGAGGGTTTTTTGTCTTGTTTTGTTTTGTTTTGCAAGATAAGATTTCTCTGTGAAACAGTCCTAGCTGTCCTGAAACTTACTCTGTAGACCAGGATGGACTCAAACTCATAGAAATCCACCTACCTCTGCCTCCCGAGTACTAGGATTAAGGGCATGCACCACAACTGCCCGGCTTACAGCTGAGTTTTTAGCAACAAGAAATATATTATCCTCTTAGACTTAGAAAGAAAGTATTTTTAAATGTCTGTCTATAATACATAGATTTTCTTTTTATCTTTCTTTCCCCATATACATACTTAGAGAATTTCTTTCAAAAATATCTTTATTTTATTTTGTATGTGTGTGTCTGAGTGTATAGATGTGTACCATGTGCATGCAGGAGCTCACATACTTCAGAGGAGGGCATCAGATCCCCTGGAACTGGAGTTGCAGATGGTTGTGAGCTGCCCTGTGGGTGCTGGAATTTGAATCTGGGTCCTCTGCAAGAGCAGTAAGCACTCTTAACCACTAAGCCATCTCTGCAGTCTCTACACAGAAATTCTCTAAAAAAAATTTTTTTTATTCATTTTACATACTAACCACAGTTCCCCCTCCCCCTGTCTTTCACTACCCCCTCCCCTAGCCCACCCTCCTTCCATCTATTCCTCCAAAAAGGTAAGGCCTCCAATAGTGAGTCAGCAAAGCCTGGTACATTAACTCGAGGCAGGACCAAACCACCACCCCACCTTCCCGCCACACACACACACACACACACACACACACACACACACACACACACAAACACACACCAAGGCTGAGGAAGGCATCCCACCATAGGAAATGGGCTCTAAAAAACCAGCTCATGTACCAGAGAGAGATCCTGGTCCCACTGCCAGGATTCCCTCAAACAGACCAAGCAACACAACTGTCTCCCACATCAGAGGAGCCATATGCAGGCTCCACAGCTGTTAGCTTAGAGTTTGTGAGTTCCCAGGAGCTTGGTTCAGTTGGCCCTGTAGATTTCCTCATCATGACCCCCCCCTTGCTCTGAAAGACCCCCAGGGGAGATCTTCCTCCGGGAGAGACCCCAAACCCAAGGAACACACCGAAACCACAGATCAGATGCAAAAGCAAGAGGGTTTATTTAGACCAGGTACCTGGGGCGAAGTCTCTTGGAGGACTTGCGCGCTTTCCTAGGGCAAGGGGGACTTTTTATGGGATCTCAGGGGCAGAGGCGCGGTTACAGAAGCGAGGAGCATAGTTACAGGGTCCCTATTGGTTGTTTCAAAGAAGGCCAGGGTGAACTTGGGGTCGTATGTGTGTGGCTGATTTGGCCTTGCCCAGGCCAGCTGCTTATTCCTCAAGGCCAGGGGGCCAGCCATAAAATATCCTGATTTGACTTAACTGTCTTTCTCCCAAGGCCGTCGACCACGGTTATCTCTCTCAAGGCTGGGTGGCTGGCCATAGTTATCTCTGTCAAGGCCGGGTGGCTGACTACGGCTGTGAACTCCTGTTTTTCTGATTCCTTCAGAATGGCGTTTCTTAGGCTAAGTTATAGGGGGGGGGGGCATTTCATTGGCCCAAAGCCCCATGTCCTCATAATGGAGCGGGGGTCTTTCAGCTCATATATTCCCTCCTCCCTCTCTTCGACTGGACTCGGGCTTGGCCTGGTCCTTGGCTGTGGGTCTCTGCATCTGCTTCCATCAGTTACTGGATGAAGGCTCTATGATGACAGTTAGGGTAGTCACCAATCTGATCACAGAGGAAATCTAGTTCAGGCACTCTCTCTGCTGCTGCTAGTGGTCTTAGTTGGGGTCATCCTTGTGGATTCCTGGAAATTTCCCTAGCACTAGGTTTCTCCCTATCCCCATAAGGACTCACTCTATCAAGATATCTCTTTCATTGCTCTCCCACTCAGTCCTTCCCCCAGCTAGGCCCTTCTGTTCCCTCATGTTCTCATCCCCCACCCTCTCCTTTTTCCAGCTCCCCCTCTGTCCCCAGTTTACCTAGGAGATTTCATCTATTTTCCCTTATCAGTGTAATCCATGCATCACTCTGAGGGTCCTCCTTGTTACCTAGCTTCTCTGGAGCTATGGGCTGTAGCCTGGTTATCCTTTGCTTTATATCTAGTATTCACTAATGAGTGAGTGCATATGTTATTTGTCTTTCTGAGTCTGGGTTACTTCACTCAAAATAATTTTCTTTCTAGTGCCATCCATTTACCTGCAAATTTCATGTTTTTTTTTTTTGTTTTTTTTTGTTTTTTTTTTTTTTTTACAGCTGAGTAATACTCCATTGTATAAATGTACCACATTTTCTTATCCATTCTTTGGTGGAGGGGCATGTAGATTGTTTCCAGGTTCTGGCTATTACTGATAATGCTGCTATGGCCATAGTTGAGCAAGTGTCTTATGCTATCATTAAGCAGTACTTTTGGAATTGTGGCAGCAGAGTTGCACCATAGTGTGTCCTAAAATTAATTTCTCTTGGCAGAATCAGAATAGACATTGCCATTTTAAAATATTTTCATACATAACAAAGTTTGATTTTTTAGTGTATGTGTGTGTGTTGATTTCAGTTTTCATGTGTATGTATCCTAATTGTGCTCTGAAATAAAATGCTTACTTAATTTTGATAGTAAAAATATGATAAGTGAAGAAATATATGTAAGGTGGGAGATTAAGCTCAGGTGATCTGCCATTTTACTCTTTAGATAAAACAATGTTCTGATTAGATGGAAGTAGCCAGGTAAATTTGGAGTCCATCATGCTACAATACAAACAGAGTCAGTTAAAACATGCTTTTGTTTTTACTGGACTGAGAAAATGACTCAGGCTAAAACCTCTAGTTGTGCAAGTCTCACAGTTTGAGTTCAGTCCACAGAACCCACATAAAAAGCCAGACACAGAAGTACACATCTGTATCACAGATGGAAGGTGGAGACAGGAGAATCACCCAGAAGCACCTGGGCCAGTGAGCCTGGAGTGCACAGCACAGTGGTATAAACAAGGTAGAAAGGTAGGCTCTCAACAAAAATATTGTCCTCTGACCTCTACATTTGCTTTCTCTTCATTCTATCCTTCCTCTTTCTCTTCTTGTAGCATGAATCTTAAAAAGTTCTTATTAATAAAATCAAACCTGAGGCCAGTTCTTGGGGTGTACACTGGAAGATCAGAGAGACAGAACGAGCCACAGCTAACCTCACCTGGCCAACTTCTCAGCTGATCTTGTGTCCTCAGACTGGAAGCCTCTGTGTCCTCATCCGGAATGAATCTCAGCTGAACTGCAGCTAAAAAGCCTGAAAGCTTAACCAGCCAAATGCTTCTAGTTCCTGGTCTTCACGCCTTATATACCTTTCTGCTATCTGCCATTACTCCCTGGGATTAAAGGCGTGAGTCACCATGCTTGTTGGCTGTATCCTTGAACACATGGATTTCTGCCTCTGGAATGCTAGGATTAAAGGCGTGTGCTACCATTGCCTATCCTAAGTATCTAGTGGCTTTTCTGTTCTCTGACTCCAGATAAGTTTATTAGGGTACACAATATTTTGGGGAACACAATACCACCACATCTTCCCTCCCCCACTCCCTCTCACACATATATAAAGTAAGTAAGTATTTATTTTAACTCCCTGATTTTCAGGTAAGGAAAATGTAAAAATTTTGCAAGCAGGATTATTTGGGAAAATTAAGTAAGATAATGTTAGAGCCCTCACCAGAAGCCTGTCTGGGGAAGCCCTGGGAATCCATCAAAGGTTTTTTAAAAAAAGAAGTCATTAATTTGACCAGATTGGCTTAAAAAACAAAAAGGATCTTGAAGATTGAAGAAAGAAGCTAAAGGATGGAAAAATAAAATATAGGGATATTTACAGAAGCCCAGTTGAGGGAAGTTCATAGTTTGATTAGCATGCTGGACACTAGAGTGACATCAAATTAGCTGTTCAGGCCCAAGGGGCTCCTTGAAGAAATGAAGATAAGAAAAAAGAGACAGCTGTGAGGGAGCCCTGCCTATTGCCTAATGTGTGGCATCCTTTGCTAGAGACAAGGTTAGTCTTGAACTCACCCTTCCTTGTAATCACCCAGAAGCTGCCAGTCTTAGTGCTTGACTTCTGGTCTCATTCCCACCAGCAGTGGTCCATAAGAAACCTGGGTGTGGGACTAGTGTTGCAACAAAGCAAAGGCTCATCAGCCTCTAGGGTGAGAAGAGAAGAAACGTTTCTTTTCCACAGGACTTGAGGTTCTTTACTTCTCTGCATCTAATTCTGTAGAGCCACTGTGTTCACTCTGTATGTTGAATGCATTTATTGAGCACCTACTGTGTGTAACTGTTGTCATACATTCCTGCATATCTCAATGCCTTCCTTAAACATTAGCTGGTTATATACTATGTATATAAGGAAACTGAAGCTCAGCAACATGAAGATATTTTCCACATGATCACATTATATGTTGGTAGTAGAATGTGGAGGTTTCCTCTCCCATCCCACACCTTCTCCTTTTTGTATGCCATTATGAAGATTCTTGCTGGAAGAATTCTTCTCCAGTGAGGATGAAACTGAAAGCTCTAGAGGTTTCTATCAGCTGTATCTCTAATATTTATATGTATTTATAATGTTACTGTGTGTTTACTATGCCTGAACACGATGTAATCTACAGCATCCTTTAAAGTGCAATGAAAAATAAGCAACTGATGTGATCATTTTTAAACAAATCCTGAATACTACAAGCAGCTATTCTTTGCTCTTTAGATTACAAATCACTCTCAAGGATGAAGAAAAGAGCTGCACCCTCATCTCAAAGACCAAAGTGTTTTCTGACATCTGTTCTACAGACAACCATTTTGTCTGCCAAAAGAAGCTGAAACATGTCTGAAACCCCATGTTCTGATTGCAAATCTCATCTCATCCTCACCAGATTGCTATACTCAATCTGTCAATCCTGTCGGCCCTCCCAGTGCAGTTAGTGGCACAGAGCATAGACTATAAAAGCACTGTGATTCTTGCAGATGCTCCCTTCCAGTTTCTTTATTCTGTAAAAGTATATGTACACAGACACAGATGTACCATTCTGAGACGAGTTCTAAGCCCAGGTCAGCAGGGGCACTGTAGACCTTGAGTGGCCTTGGCTGATCTCTGTGCATGAGGTCATCTGCAGACAACCAGAGAAAATTATTTGCAAAGTCCTCATCTCTACCCTCCACCCCAAGCTATCTAAAATCTAGGCTTGATTAAAGTCTTTGCTATTGATACTGACACCAGAGGCCCAGAGTTTAGGAGTTTGGGGAAGGAAGAATTTGCTTTGACTGACACCTCCAAATTAACCAGTTAGCAATTGACTAATGTTGTGATCATAAGAGTGACTCTAGTTAAACTGAGCTCTTTCCATGTGATGCCTCCCACCCTGCTGTGATCCACCAGCACCCCCTGGACAGATGCTGAAACATCTGCCCGGGGCTTGCCAGTCTTCAGAACGGCGAGACAGGGGGGTCTCTTCTTATCCAGTTTCCTGTTACAGCAACAAAAATGGCCTAAGACAACAAGTCTCTTCTCACCGTGTCACAAGCCTTTCCACCTTAATTTTCCCATCACTTCTTTCTTTCATGCCTCTTTATTGCTTATGGCTCATGCAGAAACTGTAGGAGGTATGCAGTTAGATATTTGGTTATTTTGGTAGAAAATAAATGACATTTTTAGATTCTTCAGTTAGAGAAATTAAAATAAAATAAGTATTTATTCTGATGAATCTCTTGGATGTCCATTTTTCTGAGAAAAAAAAAAGAATTGCCAAATTTTCCAAAGTAATCCAAAGATTAAGAAGACTGTATTTGCTTTATAAGGAGGAACAATAAAATAATGGTTAAAATAGGTATCTACATATCCTAATTATTCAATGTAAAATTAAATTTCTTAAATTGATGCATATGCTATCATACAAATGAAATCTCATTTTAAAAATAATTTTTATTTTAAAATTATTACTTTGTATGTCTGGATGTTCTGTTTTCATGCATGTCTGTGCACCATGAACATGCAGTGCTCTTGAAAGCAAGATGGAGGAAGTGTATCCCCTGGGACTGGAGTTATATGTAGATGTAACCAACCATCTTATTAAATAAGAAACACAGAAACAATGTAAAAGAGAAAGCCAAGAGGTTAGAGCTCAGAGCTAAAATCTCACCCTTCCTCCTGCTGTGTCCCAGCTTCCCAAAAGAGAGCTATTTCCTGGTCTGTCAGTCGTTTCCAAGTCATTCTGCCTTCTCATTGGTTGTAAACCCAAACACGTGACTGCCTCGTCACTGTATGTACAGCCCTCTAGGTCTTAAAGGCATATGTCTCCAATGCTGGCTGTATCCCTGAACACACAGAGATCTATGGGATTAAAGGCGTGTGCCACCACTGGCATGCTCTTTCAATGGCTCTAATAGCTCTGACCCCCGGGTAACTTTATTTATTAACATACAATTAAAATCATGTTTCAGTACAGATAGAATACCACTATAGGCCAATGAGTAACTCGCCAATGTTTCAAATAGATGAATATGGCTATTAAATATAATTATTTATTGTACAGTAAAATATGGTTTTCAAGGAATGAAGTTGGTTCTTTGTTTGTTTGTTTGTTTGTATGTTTTTCAAGACAGGGTTTGTCTGTGTAGTTTTGGTGCCTGTCCTGGATCTCACTCTGTAGACCAGGCTGGCCTCAAACTCACAGAGATTCATCTGGCTCTGCCTCCCAAGTGCTGGGATTAAATGTGTGTACTACCACCACCCAGCTAAAGTTGGCTCTTAACATCACTGCTTTCTTCCAGCTCCTCAGAGTCAGGGTAGACAAACTGCACTCACTTCTGAACTTGTTACACTGTCGAGGCCCTTTAAGGGAAAACTCCTGCTCAAGAATAGAACCTCTGACGTGCCTGGAGACCTAAAATTCCAGCAATTTCGATATCACACAAAGTTTTCATGCCTTTAAAAAAAAAAAAAAAAAAGCAGAATTTAAGAGTAGTTCCAGCATCACAGGAAAACTGAGAGGAAAGTACTGAGACTTTTTACATTTGCTGTCCTTCCCAGATCCATTTCCCTAAGGTCAACATCCTATAGTGAGAAGCACACATGCTCAGTGTAGGAATAAATTTGACTCTGTTATGAAACTGAGCCAGTCTGATTCCTGGCAATGTGACTTCTGTGGGTCTGGAAAGATGGACAGGCACTGGTGTCCAGTTTTCCACACAACTAGCCTCACTGCCTAAGCATCCCTGGGCTTTCAGTGGTATGTCTCCCTAACCCAGGCCAGGAGTCTGGCTCTGCCTATGCCTGTCCTGGGCTTCCTGACTCCCAGAACCGCTGCAGGCCTGGGATAAGAGGAAGACCAGAGGTCCTTATCCCTGGGCTAGAGTTCAGTCTGTTCTCATCCCTGCACCAGGCTACATTCTGTCCTTATCATCCCTGGCCAGGCACAATCTGTCCTTATTATCACTGGGCCAGGCTGCACTCTGATGCCGGAAGAGGTCTATTATCTCTGGCTCAGAGTTCTGGGGTTATAAAAAGAGGCCCCCTCTTAGGGGAGGGTTGAAAGACCTTGTGGCCTTAGTAAGGTCTGCTTTGTTAACAGTTTCTAAGTCGGAGGTCAGAGCTCTGAAGAGAAAAAAAACACAAAGTAAACCAGGAAACAGAAAGTCAATCTCCAGATGGCACCATCCTGGCTGCCAAGGACGCTGGCCCTGTTCCAGCAGGATTTTATGGTCTGGATGTTGGAAGAGAGGGGGAGTGGAAGGCAGGGGGATCAGGGAGGAAGGAGAAGGGAGAGAGGGAAAGAAATAGAAAGGGGGAGAAAGAAGGACAGAGGGGGGAATAGAAGGGGGAGAAAGATGAGAGGCAGAAGTGGGTGGACAGAGTGAGGCAGGGAGAGGCATCAGCATTTGAAGTTGTTAGGTGGGTTTATGGAGATCGAGATAAGCTACTGCCCAGATTAAAAACCTTCCAGGCCTTTATTTTAAGCTGCCAGGCTTTTGTATCAGGTCAAGAGGATGAGGAAGAAGCTGTGATCTAGGAAGGTGACCTTCTTATTACTTAGTTATGGCTCCTTTTCCTATCTGTTTGCCTATTTGAAATATATCTAACTGCTACTCCTTCAATATTACTTCTAAAATTTATGTACAGGCCTGGAGAGACAGCTCAGTGGTTAAGAGCACTTGTGGTTCTTGCAGTAGACCAAGGTTCTTTTCCCACCACCCACGTGTCAACTCACAAGTGCCAGTAACTCCAGTTTGGGGCCGTCCAACACCTCTTCTGGTCTCCTCAGGCATCAGGCATGCATGTGGTGCCCACATGCAGGTAAAACACTCATATATACAAAATAAGAATAAATAAACCTAAATAAAAAGATCTTAAGATGTTATGTACTTATGCTTTTTAAAACAATTATTTATTGATTCCTTGGGGATATCACATCATGCACCCCAATCCCAGTCACCTCTCTGTCCCTCCATATCTATCCCTCACCACTGCAGCATCCCTCCCCTGGAAAAAAAAAAAACAAAAAACAAAAAACAAAAACCTTCCCAAAATGAATTAAAACCAAAACAAAGCAAACGAACAACAACAACAAAAACCCACCTTGCTCCTCCATCTTTCCCATCTCTCCAACACCTCTTCATTTGTTCAAGTGGCATTGGGAGCTGTGGTAAGTCAGGCGTTCTACCCATTTGTCCAGTCAGCCACACCTGCAAAAGTTCATTGCAATGAGTCATTGGTCTGGTTCAAGGCCTCTAGCACTGCATCATCACTGGACCCTCACAAAGATTCCTTTCAGATTTCCTGCTATTGATACCCTTGAGTCATGGAGATCCTGAGGCTATCGTTCTGCATTACCAGTCCTTTCTTCATGCAATCCAGCAAGAAATAGATGGGGTAGATGTTAGGGTGAGCCAACCCAAGGCCCAGGATGTGGGTCTGGGTAGTAGCTGAGCTGGTCAGTCTGGGCTACTAAGACCACTTCCCCCCTCAGGCAGGGGACAGAGCCAGCTCTCCTATACCCACAACATCAGGGCCAGCTCTCCCACACCCTTGGTGAGGAGTGGGGCCACTCTTCAAAGTGTAGGGGCCAGCTCTCCCATGAGGAGCTGGGTCAGCGCCCCTACTGTAGTGTACAGAAAGGTGCAGGGCCAGCTACCCTAGGGCCAGTGAAGGGAGGGACCGGCTCAGCATGGCCCCCAGATTTCAACATGTATGGTTCCTATTACTCACTGTGGTAACATGAACCATAGACATCAACAAAGACTCCAGTTGCAGCAGGATCACAAACCCAGACGTAGCCCTTGGCAACAGCCCTGGCCTGGATGACACCACGACCCTGGGTGATAGGCACGACTTTGGTGGTGGCACAGTCCTCAGACACCAGCACAGCCACAGATGGCAGCCTAGACCCTGGGCATCTGTGTGGCCTTTGGTGGAAACTTGGGCCATGGACATCAAAACAGACTCTGGCTGTGGTAGGACCACAGACCCAGACATGGTCTCCAACAACAGCTCAGGCTCAGATGTAACCATGGCACCAAGTAGTAGCACAGGCCACACAGATAAGCATGGCCCCTGTGGCAGCATGGCCCCCAGACACCAATACGGCCCCAGGTGGCAGCCCAGACCCCTGGAGTTGGCATGGCCTTCGGTGGTATCAGGAGCCACGGACATCAACACAGACCCTGGCTGCAGTAGGGCTAAGGACCTAGATGGTCCTCGGCTGGGATGTCACCATGGCCTTCGGTGTCAGCGCAGGCCACTCAGATCTATATGCCCCCAAGCTCCAGCATGACCCTCAGACCCTCCCCTGGCCTCAGGTAACTGCCCAGACCCCACGTATTTGCATGGCCTTTGTATTAACAGAAGCCGTGAACATCACAGATCCTGGCTGTGGTAGAGCCACAAACTCAGACATGGTCCTCAGTCATATCCAGGGCATGGCCTCAGTGGTAGCACATGCTACTCAGATCAGCACGGCACCAGGTGGGTGACTAGAACCCAGGCATTCAGTGGTTACTGAAGTTGTGGACATCAACACAGATCCTGGCTACTGCAGGGCCATGGACCCAGACATGGCCCTTGACAGTAGCTCAGGCCTGGATGTCATCATGTCCTCTGATGACAGCATAGGCCACTCAGATCAGCATGGTCCTGGAGGTGGTGTGGCGCTTGGACACCAAAATGGCAACAGGTAGTGACCCAGACCCTGGGCATCCTTGTGGCCTTTGGTGGATATATGGGCCCAGATGTCAACGTAGTCCAGAGTGGCAAGCAGGCCACCCACGACAGCCTGTTCCTCACCTGCTGCTAGCCGCAGGAAAGTGTAATGGAATTCAGCTACTGTCACAAGCTACTACTTGGAAAAGTCAAGGACTTCTCCAAAGGTCAAGCCATGGCTTAGGAAGTCTCGGTGATAAATGTATTTATCTAAAATGTCTATCAGGCACCCAAGATCAAACGAAACAACACCTGTCTCCTAGGCCAGGCAGATAGCTTTATTTCTTATAGGGTGAGACCCTCCTTTCTTATACAACCTTACTATTAGACCCCTAACTTCTTACCTAACCACTTCTAGGAATGCAGACTGAGCACATAGGTCCCCTTTTTCATATACTAACCGGTCATTAGCACTCAGCTGACCTCCTCTTTTACCACTCCCAGTTTGGGTTGTAAAAGAAAGCCTGGTGGTCACCACCTGAGGAAAATTCTTACTTGCCTTTATGACCCCATAAGAATTCAAGCCTGGTGAACTTGCTCTGCCAGAGGATTGCTATTGCTTGGGTTTATAACTGGATTCTTGGGGATACTTGAGGAGAACAAAGAGAATAAGGAGACCAGAGGAAGAGAGAGAGAGGCAAAAAGAAAACTTAGATGGGGAAGAACTAGATTGAAGGGCTAGAAGAGAGTACTAGAGGAACAAGATGGAAGATGAGGAAGAGCCAAATGGGGAAGAACAAGGTGAGAAAGAAGGAGATGGGAGAGGAGCTGAGATGGGAAGGAACTAGATGGACGAGAACCTATATGGGGCAGAACTATATGAAGGAATTAAGATGGAACTTAGAGGGGACCACAGATAAATGTAGAGAGAAATCAGGCAAGAAGGAAGCTAGACATGAGAGCAGAATAGAAGCTATGCAGAGAGAGAACTGACTCAGAAGAATAACGTGTGTAGACTAAAGAATTTCGTGTGTGTAGATTCATTTCCTATCCTCAAAGGTTAATTATCAGCTGGTTGCAGATTCTTCCCGGACCCTGGGAGGGGACTATGGAGGGGCTGGACCCCCTTGGGTCCTCGTTCCTCACCATCTTCACTTCTGCAGATCTGCCTCATTCCACAGCACATGAATCGTTCTGTTTCTCTGTCTCCCATTCCTCCATCATCTGTTTGCTCATTACAATGGCACCTTCCTTGCGACGCCCTTAGAACTAAGGGTTGGAGAAATGACTTGTCCGTGAATGGCTAGATTCACAGCCAAAAAGACAAGAATTATGACTAAAAAGTCAAATTGGTTACAGAGTCTTTCCATCATGAGTTCCTGAAGATGAAGAAATGAAGGAGGACCAAAACCAGGCAACTTCATTAGTTAAAGACACCAATCAAAGATTGCCTTCAGCCTAGAGGAAAAGATGGTGTCGGGTTACTATTAATACCTCCTGTGCTCTAAAACCTCAGGAGATAACCTCTTATGTTCTTGTTTTGTACCTCAAACTTGTGCTGACATCTGAGGAAATAACTGCTTGTGAACAGACTTTCTTGTCAGACTTCCTTTTGGAACCACCAGCTCCCAATAATGACATAGAGACTTATTATTAATTATGAAAGTCTGGCTCTTACAACTTAACCCATTTCTATCAATCTTCATTCTACCACGTGGCTTTTTACCTCTTCATCATTCTGTGTGTCCAACTCCCTCCTCATCTCGCTGGCATCTCCTCCTTTCTTGCTCTCAGCGTTCCTCTCTCTCCCCAGAAATCCTGACTATTCTCTCCCACCTAGCTATTGGCTGTTCAGGTGCCTTAGGCAGGTGAGGCAAAACACAGACACATTTTCACACAGTGTAAACAAATATCCTGCAATATATTTGGACATCAGAAAATCTGGGTGACACACATCTCCAACTACATTGACAGTTGAGTACCCCAAATAACTGTGTTCAAAACCTCTCTGACTGCATTTCTATTAACTCATATTTTGATAGTATACATAATACATTTATATTTACTATTTTACACTACTGTATTGATTATATATTATTATGTTTTATACACTTAATATATTAAATTTTTAGTATTTTTTTAACAACCTTGGCTGGCCTGGAGCTCCCTATGTAGACCAGGCTAGCTGTGGACTCATAGAGATCCACCTGTCATAGACGCCCCAGTTATAGGATCAGCGTCATGTACTACCATACCCATCACCCAAATATTTTATTCTAGTATTTAAAAATTTTCTGAGATGTTTACAATTTTCCTTGCCATATGTTTCTAAATGATAAAAATAATGCTAAATTTCTTATTCTTGAGGATGATGATATTTCGTTGCTACATTTCTGGGGTATCTGCATTCTAAATCCAAACTCTTCAAGCCTGCGATTCCATCTCTGGAGCACTGTGACGCCCTCTTCTGACCCCTGGAGGCACCTGCACTCATAGGCACAGACCCATACATAGCCAGTCCCACTCACATACATATAATTAAATATAATACAAAGAAAATCTTAGAAAAACTCCAACTTTGCTTCATAAACTGGTCCTGAAATTCTTTTTGGCATCAAAGCTATGAACTAGGTTTGGCTTGAGTCAAAGATCCCTGAAAACCTAGAGCAGAGATTCTCAACCTGTGGGTTGTGACCCCTTTGCGGGGTCAAAGGACCAATTTGGGGGGGGGCACATATCCTGCACATCAATATTTGCATTCTGATTCATAACAATAACAAAATTACAGTAGCAATGAAATAAATTTATGATTGGGGGTCACCACAGCATGAACAACTGTGTTAAAAGGACGCAGCATTAAAAAGGTTGAGAACCCCTGCTCTGCATTTCTTTCACTGCTGAGGGTGGCAGTGGGAGGTATCTGTCCCCACACCACCAACAAAAACATCTCCAGATTGGAGTCTGTCCTATGAGACAGCCTGAATCCATGGTCCTGGGTCTTGGCCTCTCATAATTGGCTTCAGAATAAATGATCTCTTATTCCCAGAGAGGCGAGAAGTGTGTTCACTTCAGCTCTCTCCGTCCCGACTCCGTCTCCTAGAGATTCAGTCTCTGGATCCTTAGCACACAGAATCCTCTGACCTGGCCCTGGTGCCCCTTCTTAAGCGATAATCTCAAAACTCAAACTGGTAGCAACATGGGGCTCTCACCTATCCAAAAGATCACTGCCTGGCTGTGTGGATAGCACACGGAAGGACTGGTAATTCAGAAGGAGGAGCGAACTGCAATAGCACCCAGGCAGGGCCAACCTTCCCCTGAACGGTATTTCTTCAGGAAGGACAGGTATTGTAGAAGGAGGAGCGAACTGCAATAGCACCCAGGCGGGGCCAACCGTCCCCTGGAGGGTATTTCTTCCTCTCAGCTGCTAAGTGTCTATCTTCCTGTGGCTGGAACAGTGTCTAGGCTCCGAGATGTGTACTGCAGAGACTGCAGAGGCTTCTGTGGGCATGCTCAGTACCACAGACCGCCTGGAGGAGGGTATGTATTTAATGCATATTTGAACCGCACTACGAGAGCGGGGAGGTGCTTCCCCAGGGACGGGACCGTACCGGGGAGGGCAGAGGAGCTGAACCTCAAGCCTGTCACAGTGGTTCGCTGCAGAACCAGAAAACGCAGAGAGGAATTTAGCTAAGAGGTTGTTACATTAGTTATTCCATTGGAGCATATAATAATTAAATAGTTCTCGCACAAGAGAAATGAGCAGTGGATTACCTTACAAAAGCCGGCGCCATGGCTTTTTTTCTTTGTACTTAGTGTTCTAGTGCACTCGTTTCCCTGGTAAAATACACTCCGGTGAATTGCACCAAGTCCCTGTGGAACAGGCCTGCTCTACAGGTCTCATAGCAAAGGCAAATTCAAACAATATCTTTGCAAAGTGCATAATGACAGAAGTTGCCTGGGAAGCTGGGGTTTTTGTTTTGCAGATCCACTGTAAAGAAAAAAGGAATGCAAGGAGGAGGCATGGGGCGGGAGGCTGACCCCACCCAGGACTAAATCCTTTGCATTTTGAACTCATTGTAAATTATGGAGAGAGAATATAATAGGATTTTCTACTTCAGTCTTCAGAAAGGAAGCAAGATGGTGTTTTCTTGCATTTTGAAAATGTCTATGTTTCATTATATTTCATTCTTTTCCTTCTTCCCTGTTCCTTCACCTTAATATTGTTCATTTAGGGAAAGAATATTGGATTTTGAGAAAACAAGACTGATATTTACCAAAACACAAAATTCATGACAAATGTTAACGCTTATTACTTACACCAAGTATTCTTCTAACTGAAATTATTACTGTTATTATTAATATTAACTATTGATGTTGCTGCTACAGTCTGCTGTTG